TTTTTTTTTTTTTTTTTTGGAGACAGGGTCTCACTATGTAGTTGGGACTACCTGGAACTCACTATGTAGCCCCGGCTGTCTCGAACTCACAGCAACCCTCCTGCCTCAGCCTCCTGAGTGCTGTGATTATAGGAGTGCACACCATGCCTGGCTCGGGGGTTAGACAGTCTAGAGTGTGCCCTAACACTCAAACAACCACTTTTGGTCTCCTCTCCAGCTCTTACTTCCCTTTCCTGAATTATCAACATCCTCAGGGGTTGCCAGTGGCCCCCAACATACTAGCTCTAGTAGAACATGTTCAATGACTCCATGAATTCTACGTACTACTTGCCTGATACTGACTCCCAGCACTCTTCAGGGTTCCAGACTGAAAGATCATTATTTTTCCTAATTAAAATAATGGATAATGCCACAACAACTTACCATATTTAGTAATTCTGGGCCCTTGACAGATATAAAATTTAGTCCAGACTCATTTGCCACAGCCTACCAAGAGGAAACAAAGACGCACATAAGAAAAATATATAACAAAGTAATAAGACTTTTAAATCTTTTCCTCCCTTTTATATAGTTGCTTCTTTCTTTTTAGAAGGAAGAGACAAAGGAGAAATAAAAAGTCAAAGAAAGTTAGCTCACAACTTTCTAAGAACTGCTAAGACAGGTATCAAATCAAATGAGAATTACAAAATATTTATGTATTTTGTTTACAAAAGCATGCTTTACAGCATTGTAAATGTGTTTTAACTCTAGTCTGGAATTCCAATGAGATCCCAAAATCTGTACTAAAGAAATGTTCTGTGCAATGAATGTAGTCTTTCTAATCTACAAACCAAAAAAAAAAAAAGAAAAAAAATCAGTATCATTTTACCAAGTGTCAATACTGAGAAACACGTAAGTATAGAGGAGTTTAACAACTGTATCGTGTATGTAAAGATGAAACCTAAATAAAACTTGAGAATTTAAAAATAACCAGAGCAGGAGCTGGGGATGCAGCTCACTGGTGTAGCATTTGCCCGGCATATGTGAACCCTGGTTTGATTCCCAGCACCACAAAAAATAAATAACAAAAATAATAAACTACACCAGGGGACAGAGTCCTTTCTGTTCTAGAACCTGTTAGCTCCAGCACAGTATCTCCTATGCCACTCATGTGGATGGCACAGGTATTTAAACCCATAATTTGCTGACAGGACTCCCAGCTCTTATTCTTGCGACTTTCTCTGGCCCAATACCCATTTGTGTCACCTCAGTGGGTACTTGTGGTTTCTGGACCAGCCTCTCCTTTGCCTGGTCCTGTTGCCCCACTGTCTGTCAGTTTGTTAACACTAATGCTCACATTCATGTGGGTCTGGTATCTGTTTATTTCTCCTCTTTTCCACCACTTCCATCCTCACTTCAACCTTCTTTTGGCTGGACAAGAAAAAAGCCCTTAAAGGCTTTTCCTTTCTGCTTTCCTCCAATCCATTCTCTACATACCAACCAGAGTACATCTTGAAAAATGCAAAGTAGATCCCTTTATCAACACATGTCCTTTCTATCTTCAGGTGCCACGTGACACCACATCTTCTATGGCTCACAACACCTTGGACTGACAATTCCTCCTTAGTCCAACACCTGCTCCTTTTCTGGTTCTCAAACTCCCTCAGCCCTTTCCATTTCAGGGCTACTATTGCTTTTTGTTTTTTTCTTGCTACACAGATTAATGGGTCTTTTCTTGGCAGATCTACAAATGCATATACAGACTGATCATATTCATGTCCCTAGCTTCCTACCCTCTCGGCTTTCCAGTGTCCCATGGGGTGGGGTGGGGGGTGGGGAGTGTCCAGTGTGTATAAAACACAACCTTAGGGCTTTCCTCAGTGCTTTTCCCTTCACCTTCTCTCCCTGCTTCTTCATGGGACTAGGTGGTCCGTCAAGACAAATGGAAAGAAATCACCATCCTGTGAACATCAATGTCAAAGAAGCCACTTCCAATTGCCCGATCAAAACACTAACCTCAAAACTCAGCCAAATCTGCAATTTTTTCATTTTATTTGCTACTGCTCTCTTCCAAACAGAAAGTTTCATCAGTGATGAACCTTGTTCATTATTTTATCCCTAAATCTTAAATATCTTGGCAAATGTAGGTATAATAAATGCTTGATGTGCCAATGAATTGAACACACGCTCTGCCCTGTAAAAGCTACTCCATGGAGGTGGGCAGAGGTGTACATCTGTAATCTCACCACTGAGGGAGGCTGAGTAAGGAGGATCAAAAGTCTGAAGATAGGGCTGGGGATTAGGTTCAGTGGTTCCACTGCCTGCCTTGCAAGCACAAGGGCGGGAGTTCGATTCCCAGTACCAAAGAAAGTTTGAGGCTAGCTGGGCAACTTAGTGGGATTCAGGGTCCAAAAAAAATTTTTTTTTAAGGCCTGGGGATGGCAGTTGTAGTGTCCCTGGGCTTAATGCCTGGCACAACAACCCCACTCCCCCAATAAAAAACAAGACACAACACAAAAATCACAAAACTGCTCCATAGGTGAATTATCCATATCTCATTCTTTCACCTTTCTGTTGCCTTCCTACCTCCAGCTCAACATTGTACATAAAGGAGAGAGAAGATTCACAGAGTAACTCATCCACATCAGGCTTTTAACACCTGCCAGGTAACATGCTAGGTTACCAAGATTTAACCTACTGAAACCCCAAACAGTTCCTGAAATGGGTGGAGACCTTTTTTTGGGGGGTGGCATCTTTGCTATATAGTTCAGGCTGGTCTTAAACTCACTACATAGCCCAGGCTGGCCTCTTGTTGCTGGAATTAGAGGTGTGTGTTACAACACCCAGCTTTTATTCTGTCTTCTAAATAAAACACAAGGAACAAAGTCTAATTTTCCTTCCTGTCATCAATCCATGGATATTATGATGACCCCTCACTCGCGGTCAGGACTCTGCTTCTGTATATGCATTTCCAGGTAATCCAGTGTTTCTTTTTTCTTTGCTGTTTCTCTCTTATCAGTCTTGAATTTCACCATACTGACTCCAGCAATCACAAGTATTAGAAGTATTATTTTATCAGAAGTATTATTTTATGTTTTATTGTTATGACTAAACAAAACAAAGAAGACTGGCAAAAATCCAAATTTTATTTTTATTGGTACCGGGGACCGAACTTGGGTCCCTATGCTTGCTTGCAAGTTAGGCGGCAGAACCACTGAGCTAAATCCCCGGCCCTATCCAAATTTTATATTCAACTCTAGATCTCTAGGTCCTTACATTTATGTGGTCCCATGATTTTTTTTGTTTGTTTGTTTTTTGAGACAGCGTCTCACTATGTAGTGAAAAGACTGACCTGGAACTCACTATGTAGCCCAGGCTCGTCTCAAATTCACAGGGATCCTCCTGCTTCAGCCTCCCGAGTACTGGGATTTCAGGCATGCGCCACCATGCCCAGCTTTTGGTCCCATGATTTTAAAATAGGTAACAATCTGCCTCTGCCATTCAAAGAGATTTTCAGTTATTTTTGGGTTCTCAGGCATGCACTCATGAATCTCTGTTCTGTGAGAATCTGATATAAGTTGAGAACGTTATTTCCCAGAAACAATCCATACACACAAAATACATTGTCTATGCTCAGAGATCCAGTGAAGCTGAAGGATCCATCACAGAGTCCTAGGCAAAGGTCACTGCTCCCAAAAGTCAGATACCAAACATTTTAATTAAACAGAATGGAACTGTACTGTATACCTAAAAAGTACCAATAAACTCAATTAAAAAAATAATTAAACAGAATGGTGTGGAACTGTCAGCAATTTACCCGGGGGACATGTTGGACCTATGATATTTATATAAGGATCTCACATTCTCCAACCTATATTCTTTGTTGCTGTTAAAGGGAAAACAAATTTATTCACAATTTGGCCAAATCAGGAGGGCAGCTATTTCACTTTCCTCAAACACACAGAAGCAGTTCAGTCTAGGAAGAACAGAACAAAAGCCAGGGCACATGCACATGGAGATTCAGCCAGGCTATGGAGCCCACCAGTGTGTCCAGGAAGATGTTCAGAGTGCAGTGTTGCTGAGCCCTTCTTGGGGAGGGCTGCCAGTGCCAGTTTTGCTCCTAGCCTGAGGAAGTTAGAGAAACAGCTTAGCTTTAAATTCTGTCAACTTCTCTGTTGTTTAGTCCTACCTTCAACCTCAAGAGGCCTGGTTGTTTATTGTTAAGACTGTTGCAGAGTTGCCATCAAAGGTATCTGGGTATTGTGGAGCAGTGCTGGGGCTCTCTCCTTTCTGCTGTGATCAAGACTTATGATACACAGGTGTAAATGACTAAAAAAGCAAACATGACAGACAAGGGCACCACTTGCTAACCTCACTCACCACATTTCTAAAACTGTTGTGAGCATGGTGGAGCCGTAATCCCAGAACTTGGGAGGATAAAGCAGGAGGACTGCCACAATTTTGAGGCCAGCCTGGGCTAATAGTGAGTTCAAGGCCTGCAGTACACAGTGAGACCCTGTCTCAAAAAAAGTGCCTGTTGTTAAACAATGAAGATCTTTCAAATACTGCATTGCTCCCTGCTCTCTCTGTCCCCAACTCCCTGACAGCATCATCCTGTCAAAAGTGCTGAAAGTTTAAGGCAATGAAATTCAGTAACCTAAGAAAAAGTAAGGCTTATATATGGGACACATTTACTGAGGAATTACAAATTATCTAGCTGTTGTGGTAAAGATATTAAATCCTTACTTGTAATCTTTAAAAAAAAAAAAAAAAGACTGAGAAGCTTACCTGCATTATAATAAAATAAAGAAAATGCAATGTGCCAAAAAATGACTAATAAAGTTAGAGGCAAAACTGAATTGAAAAACATTTACAAATATAACAGATATTAATGATTAAAAACGAGAAACAGCCGGGTGCAGTGGTGCACGCCTGTAATCCCAGCACTCGGGAGGCTGAGGCAGGAGGATCACTTTGAGTTTGAGACCAGCATGGGATACATAGTGAGACCCTGTCTCAAAAAGCCAAAAAACAAAACAAAACAAAACAAAAAACAAAAACAAAAAACCTGATGTAAGAAAAGTATGTTTAAGACCTGTACTTATAAAAATGTGTATAAATGTAAAAATAAAAAAAGTGTATAAATGTATTATCTTAACCTGGGTGTGGTGGCATATGCCTATAACCCCAGTGTTGTGTAGGCTGAGGAAAGAGTGTCACCATGAGTTAGAAGCCACACTGGGCTACATGAGTTCAACGCCAGCCTGAACTGCATGATGAAAACCCATCTCAAATAAATAAACAAGCAAATACATTATCTTGCATGTAGTCTTCTATTTTTTCCTATTGGGGACTAAGTCTAGGGCCTTCAAAACGAGCTACATCCCCAGACCTTTTATTTTTTGTTCTGAGACAGGGTCTGTTCTCACAAGTGACTAAATTGTCTGGGCAGTGTGCAAATTTATAAGCGCCTGCCTCTGCTTTCTACAGTGCTGGGATTGTGAGTGTGGAGCACCATGCTTGGCTATACACACATACAGAAAATATCTGGAAGGAGTGACAATAAACGAAAACAGTGCCTGGTCGTAGGTAGAAGTGGGAAGATTTATAAACAATGCCTTTTCCTTTGGGGCCAGGGGATTTAGCTCAGTGACACTGTGCCTGCCTTGCAAGCTCCAAGGTCCTGAGTTTGATCCCTGGTACCCCCGAAAAAAGTAAGAAAAATAACCAAGTTATAATAATTGTACCAAAGCTGGAATCAAGATCAGTGACAAACTACACCACCATGTAATACTTACTAAAAAGGTAGAATGACATACAGAAACAATAATTACTATGATAAAATTGATGGACTTTTCAATTACTTTTGCCATTTAAAAAGTGGGGATTTTCTTGAAAATTGTTATGCAAAACATGTGTCTCAGTGTAAAAGGTAAAGATAAATTCTTATTATTGTTTCAGATTAAGAAATAAAAGACCACCAGGGATTTAGCTCAGTAGTGCTGCGCCTGCCTTGCAAGTGCAAGGTCCTGAGTTTGATCCCTGGTACCAGACAAGAAAAAAGAAAAAAACAAATAAAATACACATAATTGAATACATACTGTACCTTTGCCAGTAGAGTTTTCCCACAGCCAGGAGGACCAGCAAGGAGGACTCCAGCTGGAGTCACCAGGCCAAGAGCCTTGAACTGGTCTGGGATGCGTACTGGTGCCTGGAAAGAACAAGAAATACAACCCTGATCCAGTAGATATGTCTGTATTACACTGTATGCACATGCTTACCTCCAGACAGTCTCCACACTGATGGCACTGACAAGCATGTTTCCCAGCAAAGTCTCAACTAACCCCACTCTACTTCCCTCTGTCCTTCTCTATAAAGGAGGGCCTGGGTACAAGGTGATCCCTACCCCGTACCCTGAGTCACTGGAAAAGGGAGGAAAAAGAGTACACACAGTCAAGTCATTTCGGACTTGGAACTGGTAAGCACACATATAACCTCATCTCTGGTCCTTAGGCCATCACATATGACAATGACAGAAGCAGCCAATACACCTACCAGTATTGCCATGGTGAGCTCTTCTCTAATATCTTCCAGAGCACCAATATCTGCCCAAGTCACATTAGGAACAGTGACAAAACCTTCCCTCTTGGCAGAAGGTTGGACTGAGGCAAGAGCAACAATGAAGTCATTCAATTCAATGCACAGGCCTTGCAACTGCTCCTCTGAGAGGGGATCTTGGTCTCTTAGCAACCCCAGCAGCCTTTGCAATTCATCCTTAAAGGAAACAATTGAGGGAGAAAATCTTTTTAAACTACAAGGTTTGTTTAAAAGTTACATTTTTTTTTTTTTGGTACCAGGGATTGAACTTGGGACCTTGTGCTTGCAAGGCAGTTGGGGGAACCACTGAGCTAAATTCTCAGCCTGGTTATGTTTTTTTTTTTTTTTTTTTTGCGACAGGGTCTCACTATGTAGTTGAGACTTATCTGCAACTTGAACTCACAGCGATCCTCCTGCCTCAGCCTCCTGAGTGCTGGGATTACAGGTGTGTGCCACCACACCCATCTGTTACATGTATTTTTAGAACTTGTTACTCCTTATTCCTTAAATTAGAGTGGACTGCTAAGTATTTTAGTGATTTTCCTTCTTTGACACAAAACTCAAATTTTATTCTAAATGGGTCACATGCCAGGTCAAGTAAAGGTATATCAGTTCCATACCTCCAAATATATATAATTTCTCTATACTCTTACTAGGGCTAGATGTAGTGAACCCAAGAAATTGGCAAATATTCATTCTATTAACCATGACATTCCATTTCATTTATAAATATTAATGAAGCAGCTGAATACTGATGACATCCAGTAGCTCTGATGACAATATAATTTCATTATATGATTTCCTGATGGTTTATCAAGTAGAATAGGCAATTTTCCTAGTATTATAAGTCTTGAACTTCGGGGTAGATTTTTCTCTTTGTGAAGATCATGAAAAGAAGGGATAAAATAAGTAAACTCAAGCAATGGTCACCTTCCATAGCTGCCATAGTGTCAACCTCAGCACAGGTGTACAGTATGTCCACAGCAGGTCACGGGTAAGCTTCCATCACAACATTTTTATGTGTTCTGAGTGCTACCACTGTACATTACGAAGTTCAGCAGGTATTAACGGGTAGTAGAACTACCTCAGAAATAACAATGGGATGATCCTGCTTTAACAAAGGAATGCTAACAGAAAGTAGAAGGAGGGATCGAAAACTTGAATATTTACGGTTTTAAAAACTTGTTACAGTAAAAGACTATAGAACTCAAGAATGATGGGTTCAAAAGAAGGGAGAGTATTCTGAGGGTGATTAAGGGTGATGTGTGTTTTACTGTAAAAAAACTTGTATATTTAAACATTCACTGTATTTTTAATCACAACTCGATCAACAATTTACAGCAATTTCTATGAAATAAAAGCACGATAGGCTGTCCCCCATTGACCTTATTCACCAGGTCTGGCACAGTGTTACTTCTGTCTCTCCCCTAAAGTCAAAGTGATCAGGAAAGGTAAATCTTTCCATTCACTGAAGCAGCCAGGATACTGCAGAGACGTGAAAGTGAATCTAGAACTGCTTCAGAAAATGGCAAGCACTATGAAGCAAGGAGTTTTATTTAGAGGGGGATTAATAGCAATGTGACTTTTATTTGTTTAGTTGAGACAGGGTCTCGCTATGTAGCTCATGCTGGCCTTTAACTCACTATGTAGTCCAGGCTGGCCTCCACCTGGCAATCCTGCCTCAGCCTCCCAAGTGCTGGGATTAGAGCCATGCACCACCACGTTCAGCAATGTAATAAATTTACTGTAATAAATTTTCTAAATATGTGGGGGCAGGTATGGGGGACTGAGCTCTGCATTGAGCTAGATTCCTAGCCTCTTTAAAAAATAATTTTTTTGAGACAAATTCTTAGTAAATTGACCAGACTGGGGTCAAATTTGTGATCCTGCCTCAGCCTCTCAGAGTACAGGTATTACAGGCATGTACCACCATACCATACTGCAGTTCATTTTATTTATTCATTTCCTTTTTTAGTTTTTTGAAACAGGATCTCACTATGTAGACCAGGCAGACCTTGAACTTATGGCAATCCTCCTGCCTCAGCCTCACAAGTGCTAGGATTACAGGCGTGCACTACCACGTCCAGCTTTAAAAACATAACCTTTGGGCCACAGATTTAGCTCAGTGGTTCTGCCACCTGCCTCGCAAGCATAAGGACCCAAGCTCAATCCTGGGTACAAAAAACCAAATCAAAACAAATCATTCATTAGTATTTGTAAATACACCTTTGAGTCTGGGAATATGTTTCATGATTACTTTATTTATATTTATAATAATAGAGGGCAATATTCTGTCTTTTATTCAGTAATAATGAAGCTGTGTTCATGATCACCCTAAGTGACTTTTAATACGTACTTATTTTTATTTATTTTTTTTGTACTGGGGGTCAAATTCAGGTCCTGGAGCTTTTGAGGCAGGTATGGTGCCACTGAGCTAAGTCCCCAGCCCCGTACTTATTTTTGTATTCAAGCACAGTGCTTCATTATTCTTGTCTGTATTTTTTTTTTTTTTTTTTTTTTTTTTTTTTTTTTTTTTTTTGGTACCAGGGATTGAACTCCGGACCTTATGCTTGGGAGGCAAGTGGCGGAACCACTGAGCTAAATCCCTGGCCCAGTGCTTCATTATTCTGAATAATGATCAGAATTGCTTTTTCGTCTCAAAGTTTATTTTGACCATGGGGAAGTGATGCTCTACTTCCTGCAGTTGCCCTCTGTCCTAAATCTGGAATACGACTAAAATAGATTTTACAGTGAGCACAGACTAAATCTCCTTTTCAGAATAAAACTTTTGCTTTATAACAAGAAAATAATTCAATTAAAAATCTTTTTAAAAATCCTCATTTATATGTAATATAAAAGGAATGCATTTATTATTACTGTTATTAACAGAAATAACATTGGATTCAAATAAGGAAAAACCAAAAGATTTGAAAACAGAAGACCTGGCTTTAAGCACCTTCTCTGTAGAGTCCATGTAACCCCGGGAAAGTCACGATCTTATAAAGTGTCTTGGATAATTAAAAAAGGAGAAATAGTATCTCCTTCACAACATTAGCCAATCAAATTATACAGTAGCTGGAAGCCTCTTGCGCAAATTGTATCAAAATTTTATGACCTGTGGACTGGCAAAGGGCCCACTGTTCTCCACAGTGGATTACAGATTGGGAAAAGGAAATAGCTACATCAGCACACTCTCCTAGTTATTTAATCAAAAGTTTAACAGAATGGGCTGGGGATGTAGCTTAGTGGTTATGCTGCCTGCCTTGAAAGTGCAAGGTCCCAAGTTCAATCCCCAGTACCAAAAAAAAAAAAAAAAAATTTACCAGAAAACTTACTTTAAGTACCAATGCCATAACAGGAGGTGGCAAACTGTGCTGTAAAGGACTAAATTTCACTAGTGACACTTAAACTGAAGACAACATAAAGAATATTCAAGAGCCAGGCTTTTACTTTACTGGGGCTGCACCTGCATCCTAAGAGAAAGGAAAAAGAAAGAAAAGAAAAGAAAGAAAAGAAAGGAAGAAAGGAAGGAAGGAAGGAAAAGGAAGGAAGGAAGGAAGGAAGGAAGGAAGGAAGGAAGGGAGGGAACATTCAAAAGCACCTGTCTTTCCAAAGTGGGCTCTGTTTCCAGCCTTTCCCCCTGGCTGCCTTCACCCTCAGGGCTTCCTCTCTGCCGCTCTTGCAGCGCCATCAAGGCCCTGTTCACTGCACACACAGCTGCCTCTCGGCAAAGCGCCATCAGATCAGCACCAACAAAGCCTGGTGTAAGATGTGCCATGTGACAAAAATTGAATGTTTCAGGAAGTCTGAGTTTTCGGCATAAAGTTTGAAGTATTCTGTGGAAAAGACAAAGAAAACATTTCAAATTCCTAAGCTAACAGTAGAAGCAAGGCACCAAGTATATTTATTTGAAGTTCTTTACATGTATTAAACTGTTGGTGGTATAACAACTATAAGATCAAATAATTCATTTATCACTCAACAACTGCTAAATTAAATTACATGTCTGACCTCATTCCAGAAAGGATAATGGCAGATATACTTTGTTAGGAACTATGTTAAGTCTTGTGAGCAACAGAAAGGCAGATTTAAAAAAAAAAATTAAGATTTTCACTAACTATTGCAGAGGAGATAAGATAAATGAATTGTGGGAGTACTTTTAAAGTAAATTAAGGGGCCAGGGATTTAGTTCAGTGGTTTGGTGGCCTGCCTTGCAAGCACAAGGAGCCGAGTTCAATCCCTGGTACCAAAAAAAAATAAAGTAAATTAAATAAGCCGGGCGTGGTGGTGCACGCCTTTAATCCCAGCACTCGGGAGGCTGAGGCAGGAGAATCTCTGTGAGTTCAAGACCAGCCTAGGCTACATAGTGAGCTCCAGGTCAGTCTCAACTACATAGGGAGACCCTGTCTCAAAAAACAAAACACACACACACACACACACACACACACAAAAGTAAATTAAATGGACATCCCCCAAAAGTAAAAGGCTCCATCCACATTTCAACTATTAATTCTATTCATACCCAAATGCTATCTTGGTACACACCAAACTTCTCAAGTCTGAACAGTTTTCACTATGACTTTCTATGAATAGGATTTGATTGTACTGTTTTAAACATGAATCATCACACAAAGTTAACCTTATATAGATACTATTACATAATATAAGCAAGATAATTTGTGATCAACACAACATTCCTGGTTTAGCGTGTAAGACTACTAATTCAAATTATGTAGTCTGAACTCTTCTTGCCTCCAAATGCTCAGCTCCACCTAGGGTTAAGGATTTGATTCACAGTGCATTTCATATAGAACTTATAAATTTAAAATTAATTGGAACAGGTTGATGGTGTCAAGATTTTAGCTCAGTAGTTAACAACTATTCCTGTCATAGATTTACAGCCACACAGTGCTATCCAAAGATCCTTTTCTGAAAAACTGGAACTGATCCAACATAATCTACAGAAAGTGCTACCTGGACCAGTTAGCTGGTTATCAGACTTCTTCACAATGCCACTCAGTCTTCAAAAAAGCAGGTACGCTGCAAATGTCTGGGCAGTCTCACAATATGAATGAACATATTCACATTGCAAGGATTGCGTCTCAGGAAGCCATCAGTAACTGTGAACAATGATCCTAACAGCTCTCAATTACCAAGAGTGACTACACACCACGTCCTGCTGTTTGACTGTCCAGTTTACTTCTCAAGACAGGTCAAAAGAAACACACATACACACATGCAGAAAAAAACTTTCACAGGAAGTAAAGAGAATTCAGAAAACAAAAAGTAGTAAGATATTAAAATTACAAACATGGAAAAAAAGACAGGTAGAGAATGAATATAGTAAGTCCAGAATCTTAATTCCGACTGAACAAATGGAGAAAACAATATGGAGAAAATTACGACTACTACTAAAACAGTTCCAGAAACAAAACTCAAGGGCTCCTATGTTACATTGTTCCATAGACCACCCAGGACAATTAAAAAAAAAAACAAAAAGTTCACGCCTATTACATCTTAAAATATTAGGGTTGGGCTAGAGTGCAACCCAGTGGCAGAGAACTTCTATCACACATGAGGCTCATTCCTAGGACTGCAGAAATAACCAAATGATAATAATAAAATATTACAGTTTTAAAACTGAGAAACTTTAAGGAAGGAAGTCATATCACTGGTTAGTATGACACTAGGCTCCTCAATACTGATAATGAAAAAATGAAATGCTGTCAGTGATTGAGGGAAATCATTCGTAGCAGGTTTTCTGGGCAGAGTCCTACCTTAAGCAACTATAAGAAAGGAAAAACAAAAGTACACAAAAGGTCCCACATTTTATCTCTACAAATCACATCACATTACTATAGAATGTGCTCTGGCAAAAGAACAGGGAGAAAAAGAAAAAAAAAAAAAAAAAAAAA